TCCTCCTGACACCCACCCTGCAGATATTTATAAGCATTTCTAAGGTCCCCTCTCAGCCTTCTCTTCTCCAGGCTGAACAAGCCCAGCTCCCTCAGCCTCTCCTCGTAGGGGAGATGTTCCAGTCCCCTCCTCATCCTCGTAGCCCTCCACTGGACTCTCTCCAGTATCTCACTCTGCGAGGCGCTGGAGCTGCTGGTGCTGAGCACCAGGGGACTGCGGCCGCGCGGCCTCCGTGTCCTTGCAGACCCCAAGGGACGCTGCTGGGTCCCCTCCCTCCGCTTTCGCGGTGAAGCCATGTCCACTGCAGCCGCTGGTGCTCTTAGGAAGAAGTGCGTTACACCTGGTCCAAGGGCCAGCAGCAGCTCGCGTGTCACAGACGCGGCTTTGCCTCCGCGGGCAGATGGTCTTCAAAACCTTTCGTGACTGCAGGGTTGCCCTTGGGATGCCCTTGGCAGTTGGCTTGGCTTTGAGGACTCCCCTTCCTGAAACCCATGTTCTTCCCTGGTGTGGCAGAGAAGGCAGCGTCCTGTCTGGTGCTTTAATCTGTATTTTATATGTCTGTTCCATTCTTCCCCTCAAGCCACTTGAAGCTCCGAGCTGTCTGGACACGGTCCTGGGCAGCTGGCTCGCGGTGGCCCTGCTTGAGCAGGGGGGTGGGCCAGCTGCCCCCCAGAGACCCTTTCCAGCCTCAGCCCCTCTGCGATTCTGTGGGTCTGGAAGTGTAAAAACAGAATCAACGGGACAGCAGTCAGGTTGGGTTGGGTTCCTGTGGGTGTGCAGAGCACAGGAGAGGCTCACGTCCATTTTTCTTTTGCTTTTCTGCTGGCACCTGGGTTTCAGAGCGGTGAACCAGCTTGTCTCATACGGCATCTGGCGAGGCGTGCAGGGAAGTTTGTTGATGGGTCCCCCTTTGCCCCAGTGCCAAACCCATCCCTAGCAATGCCTGCTTTTTTCTATGCTGTGCTGCGGTTTCGTGGTCGCTTTAGCTCGGACGCTTCTCCCCCCGACAGCTCTTCTCTACCCAATGAGTCTGCTGGGAAGAAGCGGCGCGATCGAGGTGTTCTTGCCGTGGGTACACGGAGCGAGACCCAGAGCAAAAGCCACTCGGGGCGGCGGGGGGCTGGGGTGGGGGTCAACGTGAGGTTGTGGTGATTACAACAAGCACGGACCATGGGGTTTTCTTCTGGACACATCTGCAGCAGCTTTTCCCCCTACAGCGGGGTTTTTCCTTCTGCTGGTGTCTGGCTTTAGCAGCTTTCCTCAGTGCCATCCCGTGGAGGGAGATGGGGCAGAGGATGCTCCGGGGTTTTAATCTGTATTTTATATGTCTGTTCCATTCTTCCCCTCAAGCCACTTGAAGCTCCGAGCTGTCTGGACAC